ATATATATATATATAGTCATCATTATCAGGTAGGCTTTATTCCTGTGATGCAAGGCTGATTCAACATTAACAGATCAATAAACATAATCTGCCACCTAAATAGAAGTAAAAACAAGGACCACATAATTATCTTAACAAACACAGAAAAGCATTTGATACAATCCAACATTCCTTCATGATAAAAGCCCTCAACCATCTAGTTATCAGAGGAACATTCCTCAAAATAATAAGAGCCATCTATGACAAACCCAAAGTCAACATCATACTTAGTGAGCAGAAGTTGGAAGCATCCCCCTTAAGAACTGGAACAAGACAAGGATGCCCACTCTCACCACTCCTGAATATAGTGCTGAAAGTCCTAGCCAGAGCTATCAGGCAAAAGAAAGAAATAAAGTGTATCTAAATAGAAAAGAAATTAAATTATCTCCCTTCACAGTTGATGATTATTTATCTAAAAACCCTAAAGATTCCACCAAAAGACTGTTAGTATTCATCAACAACTTCAGTAAAGTCTCTTAGTAATCATCAAGACTTCAGTAAAGTCTCAGGATACAAAAATCAACATTCAAAAATCAGTTGCATTTCTATACACCAACAATAATCAAGCTGAGAACCAATTCAAGAACACAACCCCATTTATAGTAGCCACACAAAAAATAAAACCCTTCAGAATACATCTAATCAAAGAGGTGAAAGATTTCCACAATGAGAACTATAAAGCATTACTTAAAGAAATCAAAGATGAAACAAATGGAAAAACATTCCATGTTCATGGATTGGAAGAATCAACACTTTAAAATGTCCATAATACATAATACAATCTACAGATTTAACACAATCTCTATAAAATTATCAGCATAATTTTTCACAGTTGTAGGAAAAATAATACTTAAAATCATATGGAAGCAAAAAAGAGTCCAAATATCCAAAGCATTCATAAGCAAAAAGAACGAAGTCAGAGGCATCACATTGCCAGACTTCAAACTTTACTACATGGCTATAGTAATGAAAACAGCATGGTGCCGGTTCAAAAATAGACACACAGACCAATGGAACAAAACTGAGAACCCAGAAATAAAACCAATGTCTTACAACCATCTCATCTTTGACAAAGTTGAAAAAAACAAACACTAGGTAAAAGGACACCCTATTTAACAAATAGTGCTGGGAAAATTGGCTAAATATATGCAGAAGAAAGCTGGACCTTGTCTTCTTACCATATACAAAAATTAACTCAAGACGGATATAATGACTTAATTCTATGACCTCGAACTATAAAAATCATAAAAGAAAGTCTAGGAAACACTCATCAGCCTAAGCATTGAATTCATGACCAGACCTCAAAAGCAAACACAGCAAAACCCAAAATTGACAAGTAGGACCTCATCAAACTAAAGAGCTTATGCACAGTCAAAAGAAATCATTAACAGAGTAAATAGACAACCTATAAATTGGAAAAATATATTTGCAAAATATGCATCCCACAAGTACTAATATCAAGAATCTATAAAGAACTCAAATGAATGAACTGGAAAAAAAAACCCCAAATAACCCCAATTAAAAATTGGGCAAAGTGCATGAAAAGATACTTCTTAAAGGAAGACATACAAGTAGCCAAAAGACATATGAAAAAATATTCAGCATCACTAATCATCAGAGAAATGCAAATCATAGCATGCCAAAAGAACTACTTTGAAAATGACAACAGATATTTATGGATTCAACTATTATGTATTGAGTACCCACCGTGCCAAGCATAAAAGATAAGAAAATACAAAAATAAAAGTTCTAGAGTGGTTAACAACATCAATAACAAGAAAGCAGTCTAGCCCCTCATATTTTTAAGAGGAGAAGTCTAAATGAGAAAGTACCATTGGAAATTCTTCTGTGGTATAAAAGCCTGCCTAAAACATACAAACTGCGCGTAAGTCTCCCTTCAGTGGGGGTTATCAGAAGAAACCCAAAGAAAAAGTCCTAAAAACAATGAGATATAATGCATACATCCCCAGGGCTCTGCAGGAAGAAAAGTCTCATTTTATATATTTAATATGTAGTAACTACAATGTATGTAATTTGTGGGAATCTGAGATTCCTGGGGAAAAAATGCCATAGTAGTTCAAAGTATGAACAAAGATGAAGCTATCTTTTTCTGCCTCCAAAAATGAACTTTAAAAATCAAGTATTTAAAAATAAAATTTAAAGCTTAAAAACAGAAAGCGGGGAGAAGTGCGGTTTTAATATATCTATTAAGGGATATATTTGAAACTGTGCTAATCCTAGATCTCTATATGATAATACCCTTAAAAGAGAGTCCAGGTTTTTAAGAGTTTCAGATTTTTCTTCTTTTCCACAGATATTTGTTTCTATTTTGAGCCACTCTTTTTCTTTTTCCAGTGAAATAAATCCAATCAAAATGTTATTTTCCTTCAGTTTTTGTTTATTTAATTAAAATGATTTTCTACATGATTGATTATAAAGGCCATAATTATATTATCAAATCCCTGTCAAAGTAACAACTTAATGTAAAACGTTAATACTTAGCAATGTTTAAATCTAAAACAATATAAAAAAACCTG